TCAAGTTTGTGTTCCATTTCTTTTTTTAAAGAGATACTTTTAAAAATTAAGCCCCCGTTTTACTTGCACTTCATATTATTTCAGCAGCTTTGTGTACCTTCATCGTGCTCGCTTTCAGGCTCCTAACAGTGCTCACGCACTTGCTGTACAAGAAACATGCATGGCTAAGCAGAGACAGCATGACTAATATTTAGTGTTGTAACCCTGAAAGTCCTTTGTGGATTTAGCTGTCATCTTTAATATCTGCTGTCTGGGCTTAGTTTTCTTTGGGAATGCCAGGAATGCTATCCACTCCGTGTGAAAAGATTCAGGATCCTGCTTGAACACGACAGGTTTCTCTAGCTGGTTGTCCAAGTTTCAGAGGAATCCATTCCGCTCTTCAAAGAAAGGTGTTTCATAAAAGGCATTGGCTTGACAAGTTAGGGCTTGGGCCGTGACGTAAATGAATAACAGCACTTTGGTGAGATCCGGCTTGCTGACCTGAGTCAGTACACGATGTGACTACAGCCAGGTTCAAATCTCTATTAAAATAAAGCAAATCGGCTTGCGAGCAAAACAATTATCCTCAGTTTCTCCAGGACCATTGACAGATGTGCTTCTGCTTGGGATTTCCTGCTAGGGTTTGCCTGGAAGGAGATGTTATGGAGAGCAGCGTTATCCTGTGCAGTTGGTACCTTTCTAGGTCTTAAGTTTTAGCCAAGAGAGAACATATGCTACTTCACTTTTTAGGAAAGCCTGCTGGAAAGGATATTGAAAACACTTGAGAACTTAATAAAACCTGCTGCCCTTCCCAGCGCACTGGTAACACGCTTTAAAGTCAGTTGGTCACAGAAGGACCCCTTTTATGAACTGTAACCAATTATAATCCATACCAGTGAGGTCAAACACCAGGAAGAAAGCAAGTAACTAGGCACAGCAGAAGCTCTTTTCTTCTCTTGCTAGGGGATAGAAAGCAAGAAGGTTTTTAAATGCAGACTGTGGCCTGATTCTTCACTCTATTGTCCCAGTGTGGCGGTGCTGTGTCTCTGCAGATGTCAAGAACCAATGCATGGAAATAAGAAGGGAACCCTTTAACGCTCTCTCCAGCAGTAACATCCGTCGAGCGTGTGGTGGCGAAAATGAGAACACAGCTTAATAGCTAGTCTTTCCTTTTTTCTTTTTTTTTTTTTTTTTTTTTTTCATTTCTCCCCTGGAAAATCGCAATCAAAAGAAGATGAAGAGAAGTTGCGTAATTTAACAGTGTCTGAGCTGCAAGCCCACAAACAGCAGCTCTGGTCTGGAACATAAGGCTGGAACATATTGGGAGGCAGTGAGGGGGGAGAAGTGGTGATCTGCTGAGGGGAACCTTCGCTGCAATAAACAAAATAATAATAGCTCGTTGCTGAGACCCGTATTAGCATTTACAAATACATGGATTCGAGAGGTGCTGCGATGATTCCCATCCCTTTTGCCTCTCTATTCCCGGCTTTGATTCTGTCCTGGGAGGTGGCCTCCTTTTAAGTTTTGCGTCCTCCTTGTCTCCTAACAGATGGGTGAGATTGTAGTTTTTTCGCACGTTGATATGGTGAGAAACGTTTGATCCCTTCAGTGTAATGGGCTGTCTTGTAGCCTGCTTTTTACATGAAAAATATGCATCAGAGATAGGTAAGTTTACATCAAAACATACTGCTTTGCAGCCCGGGGTTTGGGATTGCCACAGCTTGCAGAATGGCTACCTGGAAATGGCAAGACATAGGTCGGGCAGAACGCAGCACTTAGTAAGCTAAGCCTATACATCTTCTGGTTTTGCACTGAAGTCCTGGGAATATTAAATTACCAGGCTTCTCTTGCTGCTTTCTGTATTGTATTTGGTTATTTTTTCCACTGTCAGGTTATTTGGATAAATTTGCACTTGTGACTTCTGCCAAGCTTTGGCCCTATGGACAGTGCAATGGATGATTAGATTTTTTTAAGAGTGCCAAAATCTGGAAACAGTTCAGTTGGAAAATTGCTTAGCAGATTGCAAATGGTGAATAAATTATTGCACAAGGGAACTTTTGAAAAGGATCTTGAAACTCCTGTAGTAGTAAATTTTCAGCTAAAGGAATATAGCATATACAGGCTCATGCTCACGAAAACCAAACAAATCCTTGTCTGGAAACCATGTAAAGGAATGAGGACTTTTGTCCTTTTTTTTTTTTCTTTCTTTTTTTTTCTTTTTAAATAATTTAAATGTAACTGTATCTTTCACAATTTCCACAGCACAGTAAAGATGTGGTTTAGCTCACCTAACTTTACCAGTAATTACTTGATTTGTTTAGACCTTCTTATTTATGTTTCCCAGCCGGGTCCCACTGGTGCAGCTTTTTCCAGGACAGTCGACTCAGACTGAGCATTTGTAAAACCTGGACTTGAAAGGGACACAAGGAAATAATTTTGGCATGGCCTTTCAACAACAAAGGATGTGGTGGCAATGTGTTTCATACTTGTGAGCTCAGCTGGCTCGGTGGGGCATTATTTGACTGGGTGCTTGTCGTTTCATGGAAAGAACAGCCTGCAGTGGTCACAGCTCTCAGCGCTCAGTTTGTTGTTGTAAAAGCCGTCGTTAAGCTGGGATATGAGCTGTAGACTTCTGGGAATGTTCCTCGGCTGGTTTATTGACATTGTTCTTCTTATTCCCAGGTTCTTGCTCTGGCTTTCTTTCTCTTTTTCCTTTTTTTTTTTTCTTTTTTCCCTTCTTAGTCTGCTCTGTGCTTTTTCTCTCAAAAATGTTTGTAGGAGGTAGAGCAGTACTGAAGCGGATTATCAGAAGATCTATGATTCTGCAACACCAAAGGTCAAATTCAAAACCCAGTGGATATCCTGATTAACTGAACCCTGTGCCCTGGCTCCGGGGCCCTTCACAGGTTCTAGGAGGAGGAGATTTGCTTCCAAGCTGTTATACAGCATAGCTTGGCAATGCATTTCAGCCCTGTATTGCCACAGGATGGACTAGCTCTATTCCTAATGCTGAATTTTTCTGTGATGTCACACTCCTCAGTGACTCTTTCTGGGAAGCACAAGGTAGATGTGCTCTTCGTTTAAGCTGCTGTGATTCTTCATTACTATTGCCTTGTGTATAGGGCAGAAGGAGAAGATTTGGCTTTGAAATAGTAGCTAGGGATGGGTAAATCTTAAAATGTGTGGAGATTCAATTCAATTTTCATCAACATTTAGATGCTTAGAAGCTACCCTAATTGTCTCTCATCTGATTTTATAAAGACTTTTTAATTATATTGTCAATATTTTCCTGATTCAGGTTTCCTCAGATATTTTTTTTTTCTTTTGGATACTGATTTTCTTCAAAGTTCTGGGAGAAGAGATGAATATCGCATAACACTTTCCTGGCAGCAGCTTCCCCTTCCACCCAAGGAGCAGCCTGCTTGAATATCGCCTTGACAGTAATGCACGAGACGCTTCCAAATCATTGTATAGGTTGGGGCTAACATCAGCACCTCAGGGTCCACTCAGAAAAACAGCTGATATGAAAAGAATTTTTCTCGATTTTTGAAATCTGTTGAGATTTCACTCGGAGATGAAATGCAAAAGGAAAACACTGCCCTACAGTAACCAGTAGCCAACTTCAATGCAAGTTCAAGTCCTGGGCTTGCTTTAAGTAAATAAAATCTTGCCATCTCCTGTATCTGAGCACATGCAATGCTATGGTTTTTAAGCCATTGGCCATTCTGAGGTCGTTACCGGTTGGATGAGATTTCTGTCTTGGTTCTAAGATTTTTTTCCTAAGAAATGTCATACTGAAAGGGTCAAGTTTCCCATCAGAAGTTTTACCTTCAATGAATCAAAATCTTCAAGTGAAAAATATTTTTTCTTGAATTTTCTGATTCCCTCTAGTCCCAAACTCTCAGCTAGCTGCGTGGCAGTTTGTGGTTTGTTTGAATCAGAAACATGGCTTATCGGTGTGCTAACACCCCCCGTTGTGTTTGATTCATAGGATGCAGAAATGAAAAGGTGAAATCTGCATCGATAGAGGCAACTTAATGGAGAATAGAACTTAGGTATGGCTTGTCCAGATTTGGAAAGAAGATTTAGAAGTCTAGGAGAATATCTAAAATACAAGAAAATTGGTACAGTGATCCTCCAAGGAAAGGAAGTAATCTTTATTGGCAATGGCATTACAGCTTTTATTCTAGTGCAGTGACTGCAGTTCATAGCAGAGAGTTTGATAATGGGTCCCTGTTGCAAATTGGGAGCTGCCTCTTAAATTGGATGGATAGAGAAAAGACACGATTAAAGCTCTCACGTAGTGGTTTTACATATGGTTCGTACCTGTCTGTCTGTCTGTGCTTTCAGATGATTCGAGGACCAAGTGTAAATCTGCACTGAGGTGTCAGTAAGAAATGAACCGTACTGTATTACTCATCCCTGAAATCTTGAAACCGGCCTTTCATTTTTGTCTAAATCTGTCATCGAAGCAGCGCCTAACAAGCAGCGCTCGGAGGGGCTGTGTGCGAAGGTACGGCAGCCCTCCGAAGGCCTGCTCCTGCCGGGAGACAAAAGGAGGTGCAACCTGAGCGCTCGCTCCGCTCAGAAGATGAGGACTCAGGAGCTTAGAAGTCACAGCATCCCTTGTGCTGCTCCAGGCGTGAGTTATGATCTGCAGACTTTTTAATGAGTAGTGTTTGCTGCCCAGTTCTGGCTT